ATGTCATAGGGGAGTTTGTTCAGCGGGCTTTTCTGGCTCCAGACCTAAACCCGTGCGATTCCGTTTTGCTTTGCAGGTGGTCACGTAACAACTAGGAAGTAACAACAGAAAATTCCCAGTCGGTTTGGTTATTGTACGCTTTTTGGTGCAAACACGCCAGCCAAGGGCTCTCGTGTTGATCCGCTCCGATCGTTACTATTCGGGTTAACGTGGGGGTCCGTTCATCTATGTGTTTTGTAGTACAGAGCTCTCGCAGACGTTCGCAGGACTACGAACGATCGATAAAAAGGACGTGTTACCGGAGGGGGAGGGGTTGGAATGACCATCTCTGGCTTACTCGCATGTATCAACCGGTCACATGTCTACTTCACCTTATCACTGCTTTTTGCTAAATCATCTGGATCCGGCATCCTTCATGTCATGTCTGATAACTGCCGCATTCGTTAAAATAAGTTTCTCATGTCCGTCTTAGTCTGAACAACCCCCACGGGTGAAAGGGTCCTTCAAGGCCTTACATAAATGGATAGTTGTGTCTGCTTTTAAGCGGCTATTGCAAGAACCAGTGCATACAGCCCTTAGCTGGCAGCTTGCCTTTGAATCTTGGGCGCAAGACCCAGAACCGAGAACAATGCTTGCACTTTAGAAGGCGAAACGGTGTGGCTGCAAGCGTACCGTAAGTGTGTCTTTGCTGATTCACTGGGTGAGTGGCTCTAGGGTCAAAGTCTAGTGATGAGCTTCCTCTCCGTATGAACAGAAATCACCAGTGTTTTGGCTGGTCGTTTAGTGATAATTACTACGATAACCAGGACAGGGTAGACACTTTTTGACAAAACTTTTAACATTCCCCAGCAGCCACAATGGATGCAATCAGTTACTCCAACCGCCCAACCACCTTTGCCTGTTTATTCCGAGGGCCGTTTTATCCGAGATAGCAGCAGGTTTGTAAAGTGCACTTCCCTTTCAAACAAGACAAAAATCAAAATTTATGGCGAAAACAGTCTGACGGACATCTTGATGACAAATGACCAGTGGCAATTAAAACCCTACCGCGGCAATTCAGAATTATAGATTGCTTGTTAGGTAGAACATTTGACAGAGTACGAAACTCTCCATGCGTTTTAAGTCCAAGAGGTATGCAGGCGTTCCTTGAACTGAACATCCAAAGCAGGGCAGTCTGTTTCGGTCCATTTGGCCAATCTGTGGGAAGTCATTTGATAAGTCACACATTTTTCGGATGCAGCACAGAATCAAGCCAGCACGTCAATGGTTTCACTCCTCGTCTGAGGCAGGGCCCTTTACGATTAGCGATTAGCGTATGCTTATCTTAGTCGTCACAGTGCGTTCGGTTTGAAGTTCTGTTCTAGTGTGGACACTGGCCCTTAACAGAGTTTTGAATTTCCTAAATTAATGTCAATTACTTACGTAAAAGTCTTACAAAGAAAAGATGTTCATTGCTGAATTCTCCGAAATGAACTCTCCGAGTTTATTTACCTGAGCAGACATATTCAAATTTAGCAAGAGAACGCGATGTTACGAATCAGTGCCGAGGGCAGTTGCCGACGTGAAAATGCACAAAAGATAAGGTTTAATCAAAACTTAATGCTAAATAAGAACAAACCACGTCAGACACGAATTTTCTACATATGACTAAAACTTGATTTTGTTGAATAACCTTAAAAGGTCGATGCAGCGACCCAGTGAGAACGAACCTCATCGACTTATCCGAAACCCAAACTCCATCGGAAGATTGTCGTCATTGATTGCTGGTAGGTTGCCAATTCAGTTAATTGCAACTTCCCCATGATGGCTGGGCTCAATACGACAAATAAACCCTTTCTGACTGATGCTCAGAATAAAATCAGCACGTTGAGGATTTTGCTCCCCCCCCTTAAGCCTGCCGGTACCCGTAAGTGTAATGAATAATGTATGCTCATTCTTGTAGCCCTCATAGAGCTTTCGGTCTGAACTCCTGTTCTAGTGGAGACATCGCCCTTTTTAAAGTTTCTCAAAGTCACCAGATCAATTCCATTCTCTTTGTTAAAGGCTTAGGAAGAATTATGTTCCCTTCATTCAGTTTCCATAACGCTATGACTGACAGATCCGGTCAGGGGATTGCTAGAACGGAGACGGGTGGTGAGTAAGCAAAAGTGACGACGAAGATATTGATGACGAAGATGATGTTGATGACGAGGATGATGATGATGATGACGACGACGATGACGACGATGATGATGATGATGATGACGACGACGACGATGATGATGATGATGATGACGATGATGATGATGACGATGATGATGATGATGATGACGATGATGATGATGATGATGATGATGACAATGACGACGAGGATGATGATGATGATGATGATGATGATGATGATGATGATGATGATGATGATGATGATGATGACGACGACGACGATGATGACGACGACGACGACGACGATGATGATGATGATGATGATGATGATGATGATGATGATGATGATGATGATGATGATGATGATGATGATGATGATGATGATGATGATGATGATGATGGGGGTGGTGGTGGCGGTAGCAGTGCCACTACTACTGCCGGCAATAGCAAGAGTAGTAGTAACAGTAGTAGTAATAGTGGTAGTATTCGTATTAGTAGTAGTAGTAGTAGTAGTATTAGTAGTAGTGGTAGTAGTAGTAGTATTAGTAGTAGTAGTAGTAATGGTAGTAGTAGTAGTAGTAGTAGTAGTAGTAGTAGTAGTAGTAGTAGTAGTAGTAGTAGTAGTAGTAGTAGTAGTAGTAGTAGTAGTAGTAGTAGTAGTAGAAGTAGTCTGTTGTGATTAGCCCCCCCCAGACTCACAAATTGAAAAAGCTAGTGCCACTTGCACAGGACCAATTCGCGTCATCCCTGTTTGCGCGCAAATCCGGCCTTAGAATATTCTTCGTTAATACCCTATGCTCTGGCCCTTGCGCATAGTCCGCGCGCACTACATGCAACAATTCGACAGACCGACCGAGCGGTCTGTCCAACTAAATGCTGTGCAGGTCAGACCTCCTAGTACGTGTTTTTCTACTATTTCGACGACTCCTGGGGCCTCATGTCTGCCACCTTCATTTCTACTGCGGTTCAGGTGTTTGGCAACGACTGGTTTGTGTGTGTGCTGACCTCTTCTACAAAGTCGCGGATGTCATAATGCGCGCGTAGACCAACTGCAGCTCGTAGTATACACCAAAACTCACGAAACGGCAGCTAAACCCTTTGAATGTGCTCTCAAAAGGCGAGGTTTGTAAAATTGATTGGCACACAAATCCTCCCAGGCAACTTGATTTATCCTCACATGTTGAATGCCACCACCTGTGTAAATACTAACGCTTAAATAATCACGATGGGTGTGGTGAGCATTTTTTGCCGAGCCTTGACGCTATTATTGCTTCAATCAGCGCAAGTACTTCTGCTTTTTTTGTGATGACTGGAGTTGACGCACTACTTTATTTTCTATATGCGGCCCTGATTGGGTACACTAATCACCGGCATACTCCGTATATCCTGGGACAAGGCGGTTTGGGATGATGCGATTTTCCACTTATAGCTAGTTTCTGGATTCAAGTGGCATTGTATGCGACGAGGACGGCTCACAGTATGCGGACAACTTTTGGTGAAGACGTACGGAAGGAAGCAGGAGAGTTCGGACCGGGAAGTGTGGAACTCGAAGCTTTTCCACGTAGCGGCAGGCCTTCAAGTCTTATAGATTGGCTCCAGGTTCGTACTTAGCGGACGGACTGGACACTTTAATATTAGTGCCGTGTGCAGTCCCTCACAAGCCACTGTACCGAGGAGGAGGCCTAACCAATGCCCGCCCCTTGACTTGATCGGGCACTATGTCTGTACTCCGCTGCTGCTGTGAAATATGGACAAAGTGTTTCGAGCGGGAGGTTTTACACGTGACGAAAATGAGCTTGGTGTAATAGCAGAAAAGGACTTACGCACTGGCGTAGTAAGTATTAGTCTAATTGACTCATGCCAAAACCTGAACTCCACCCGAAGACTAACGTCTTAGGTTGGTGGTCAGTTGCTAAATCAGTTAATTGCACCTTTTCTAGGTCTGGTTCGCCGCTTACGGGGGGGGGGGGGTCGTCTGTAGTTGAAAGTGAGGCTTTTCACCAATACGGTGCAAACACAGCACCAGCGCCAGAAGGCCGTCCACCGGGCGTGTAGACGCACCAGTAGCACAGGGGGTAGTGCGGTTGGCGCCCACAATAAGCAACCCTAATTTCCGTTTACTTCTTAAACGTGATATACGTAATGCCTTTGAAACCCCCTATACGTTTCCTCTCTGCAAATGATTACTTATCGTTATCTTCAAAGTTCCTTAATATTGTCGAAAGGCCATCGTTTTAGGCTGGAAAAGCCGCTGCTTATTGCTTTTCGGACTATTTGCGCCGTGTTATGATGACGGGGGGGGGAGTAGTTTCTAAAAAAACTTACCCTCAGGGCAACTCTGAATTTGCATATATTCTGGACGTTGCTTAGAATATATAATAACAATAATAATGATAATAAGTCAACAGGCTTCCATTGTGCCACAGGAATAGTAACATGGTGATTTGCATAAATTGTGCGTCACCGTCCCGCTCTCATAGCTCATCTGTCTTCTCACTGTATGCGTCAGCTTCCAAGGACGTAGAATGCATCTCCACCAATAAGTGGTCTTGGCAAGGGAGGGGATGTAATTCTCTAGAGCAGGTCGTAGACATACAAGTTCTTCTGACCAGCGCCTAAGTCATTTTCACAGTTTAATCAAAAGCTTCAAGTTCTAGAGAAGAAAGTAATCATAACTTTATTTTGTATGATTATTAACAGCAATTTGCTCTTACGATGTACTACTACTTTCTATCCTCCTTTAAACGGCACGCAACAACCTTTTCTCTTTTGACTTAATCGGTTATTTCCAAATGAGAAGTCGACAGTCCTCAAAAAGTAGACTGCCAATTTTTAACTGAATCATACCCTTTTAAAAGCAGCCTGTTTCACTGAACTCCTCTCAGCCTCCTATATGCATAATACCATTTAGAAATCTCGGAGCTAGAGCACAGTTTCTTAAACCATGAAAAGATATTCGCCCGCGGGGGATTAGTTATGACGTAATGCTAAGGGGACGTTTTACGAGTTTACGGTGAAGAGGTTATGAGGGCTAAAAAAACTTGAGCTTGTGCAAGTCATGTGACTATGCAGGCGCAAATGTGTGGTAACTTGCGCTATTTAAAAACGCCAAATTTCGGTATAGGGGATGAACTAGTACCCAGCGGGAAACAGGTCGCGCACAGTACCAGTAATTCCAGTCTGTGCAAGTAGGCTCGAAAATATCCATGTTTCTGAGGCGTCATTACCACTTTTTAATGCCGACACTGAATATAACCAGAGAACAAATCGTGTAACTGTCCACTGTCTCTCTTCCCCATAGCCTGACAGCTTCATCCTTCTTCAGCACCGATTATTTCCTGGATTTCAGAACCCAAATTCAACCCACTGATCACAGTGCATCCTCGTCCCGGCATGGGCCGAAAATGAACAAACCCGCCTTCTCCCACAGAAATTCAGATTTTAATGCATCTTCGAATCTGCAAAAAGCACTAAGCCCAGGCTAGTTCACGGGGTGATTCTACGGCAGCACACTACCGACGGACTGTGAGCTGTGCCAAAAACCAAGCCTGCAGTTTTGTCCACTAGGTGGATACTCTCACGTTGAGTGGCCTCCATACGCCTCTGGCCAACAACGGACATTCGCGCCCTCCTCGTCCCACCTTAAGTCGCCTATGAGCAGAGATGAAATGAATGTGGTCTAACCAACATCGGTTCACCATTTTTTGAATTTATGAACGCGTTACTGTAGTGGGCATAAATCCAGGGTAGCTCGCATGTTTATTAAGCAACTTCTAACGATTCGAATCCAAGGAGGACGAACATACAGTAAGTGGGTTAATTCATGAAATGTCAACAGAAATTTCGAAATGCGTTTCCGTTTCGAAAAGACTAATTGAGTAGTGTTGTAAAACTAATCATTATGCAGCATAATTCTATAATGCTCCAGTTACCACGGAATGCCGGCTTTCGAATGAACTTTCGGCTGCATGCAAAAACCAGACTCTGTAAAAAACGACTACTTAAGTAGCATGCTTTTTACTCATTTATTTTCAATGCCCGTAAAAAGTAAACCATATATTATGAAAAACATGCACAAAAATATTCGTTCTTTTGCTCATTCAGTAGAACATTACGTCTCTTTTCAATTTCCCCCCTGAAGGGAGGGTATAATTTGGTTTGTGAGATTTTTTAATACCGTGAAATGGCCGTTCATGAAACCTCACGTATCTGCATTTACGAATGTGGCTTGTAAAGTTAACAATGTGGCTCATATCCACCGCTTGATTTTATGAACCCTATTTAGTTTCCCTTTAGTTCCGTAGAGAAACGTATGGTTTTCCGTATGCGGAAATTATACGGCTTGTAGGTTGTGAACCCTGAATGCAAGCGTAATTGCAGGTTGGGTTCAAAATTATTCGGGAATTGGAAACGTTTTTTAAAACTGAATTATACCCATCCCTCGAGTCCAAAATTGTAAGAGGACGTACTTTTTTTACTGCATGAGCAAAAGAATGAATATTTTTCTGCATGTTATCCATGAAATATAATTGAATCTCCAAGGTCATCGAACATCAAAAAGAAAAAAGCATGCTACTTAAGTAGTCATTTTTTACGAAGTATGGTTTTTAGATGCAGCCAAAACGAGGCTTTTCGAAAGCCGGCGTCCTGGGGTAAATGACTTATTATAGAATTATGCTGCACGATGATGGGTTTTACAACCCTACTTAATCAATCTTTTCGAAACGGAAACGCATTTCGGAATCTATGTTGAGATTTCATGAGTTAGCCCACCTACTGTACCATTTTGGGATCGCGTGTTGGAACGAACAGGAGGCTAAAGATAGCCGGCAAGTACAAAAGAGGGACAGTGTTGCCTAAATACTTTATGAGGTGTTGAGTTACTCTTGAAGACTGAAAAGCATCCCTGCGCTGGATGGAGATTCAATGGAACGTGTTTTTATTGGCGAGATAGTGCGGAATGGGGAGGCATAAGGCGGAAAAGTCGGAAGTTCTGCAGGTGCATATGGAGGTTTGGTGGGCATTTTCTGCAAACAAATGACAGCACAAAATCTATGTTTTTGGCCGGATTTTTTTTCACATTTCAAACGATATGCCCCCACTTCAGCTTGTTTAGTCTGCCACTGCTCATGACGAAACTCTCGATAGGCACAATCCTTATGGAGGGGTTTCATAGGTGTTTCACTGTCAGCTGTTTCTTCCTGGTCCACTGATTTTTGATCTAGAAAGAGATTCCTGTCTGGAGGTGCTGTCTGAACGGCTGGAAATGTCATTTTTAATCTCGAGAAATTATCAATCCGTTTGTCTCTTCCAAGGCTATGCTTCCAGGGTGAGTTATCGAATTGGTTAACGAAAAGGCACTTGAACCGGACCGTTTTTCAGGATTTATGAGGTGACTCAAGTACACCTGTGACTACCAGCTACCTGAAGCGCCGTCTTCCAGACAAAGGTAAACCGTCACGTCGTAGTACGTCGTTTGCACTTGTGGAGCAGAGTGCATTGGCTGCACCGATCGGAATATGAGGAGAAGAGTACGAAAACACCTACCAGTGTGCCTTGAGATTAGAAACAAGCGCCATAACTGACTGCATTCGTATGCATCTGATGGACATTGACCAGAACGTAAAAATCCTTACTGCTCTCTGAGCACAAAGCACCTTCCTGTGGATAGTGCAGTTGTCACAGACCCGAGCCAGTTTGCCTGACACCAGCATGCAGCCGCGGCTAGGGTGATTGCCACAAAGTACCTTCCGATCAGACTGTGAACTGTCCCGCCCGTGTCTCACCCCCAGCGGGCCGTTCACTCCCGACGGTTCGACAGTCATTTTCGATGACGTCCACCGCGTCCCCTCCCCTCCCCCCCCCCCAGCATGGTAGACGCAGGAACGGGAAAGTGAGCGTGAGGTAGTTTATGCTTATAGTGGGCCTGCACAGCATCTAACACACTCTCTTCTCCGCTACCGGTATCCAGTGTCAAGACAGAATTAAAAAGACTGCGGACGGAGTCATAAACAATGGCTGATAAAACTAAACAGTCCGTCTGC